TGTATGTATGTGTGTGTGTGTGTGTGTGTGTGTGTGTGTGTGTGTGTGTGTGTGTGTGTATTAATTATCTGTACATGTAATGATGGTATATTCAATTCTTCTCCCCTAACAGCTCCATCTGCAGCTCCCTCTCCTTTTGCATTCAGCACGGCCCCCTCTGGTGGATTCGGGGCCAACCAGACTCCTTCATTTGGTTCATCCTTTGGATCTCCCTTCACAGCCACACCTTCCCAGCCCCCAGCCTTTGGAGCAAAACCAAACTCCACCCCTGTCTTTGGACAGCAGACAAACTCCACACCTGTATTTGGGGCGGCTGCTAATTCTGCACCAGGTGCGTGACTGTAATGGTAACCCTTTTTCCCCTTAGGTTGTTAATGATGCCAAAGGTTCCTGATCCTTACATTATGCAAGTATGTTTATCATGAGTTCAAACATGTTTTTATCAGGTGGAGGCTTTCAGTTTGGAGGAGCCAGTGCATTTGGAGCCACAAACAACACCTCAGGAGGCGTGTTTACTTTTGGAGCAGGATCAGCAGCTTCTCCTGCCCCCCCTGCCAACCCCTCCATCGCACCACAGTCAGGACCACCTGGAGGTGGATTCAATTTTTCACAACCCCCTGCATTCAATATTGGGTAAGTTGCCTTTCTAAAGTTTACAATATTTTACCAAGTTTTAGGAGACTGCCCGATAATACAATAACTTGCTTTGAATGAAGTCCTTAAACAAAAAAAAAAGTGTTTAAATATACTTTAAAAAATTTCATTTTCTAATGTTTGTTTGAACCCTGGGTGTAATATTAATCTTTTAAGAAGTCTTTATTTTTGGCTCATTTTGTCGTCGTTGAGAAAGGATTTTTGTCTGAGATGTTTTTGAAAATAGTTACCTCTTGCTAAGCATTAAAACTGCCTTATAATTAACAGTGAACCAATAATCAAGTGTGTGTTTATCTGACAGCTGTTTTTGAAGGCTGGTAGTCATGTTGCTGTTATAATGTCATTTTGCTTTTACAGGTCAACGAAGGCCTTCACCTCCACCCCTGGTGGACAGCAAGCGATTGCTGGGCGCAAGATCAAGACAGCGGTGCGGCGCAGGAAATAGACCCCTGTGGACTTGACTATAAAGCAGACTCGACTTTGACTTGACTATGTCCCCACTGAAGGCTGAATAAAGTCCTAGAAGGTCTCAGCTAGACAAACACTGAAATTACTGGAGAGGGGCCGAGGCCTGGGGCCACTGTGTGCTTGGGCTAAATGGGTGGGCGTGTTTTAGCTGAAGGCTGGGCTGATTATTCAGAGGTTTTCACATGTAGACCGGAGCCGTTAATATGTGAGACTAACCCCACAAGACTTCACATGAAAAACTGTTGACTGAACAATGACACTGACTTAGAAAACAACAATCAAGCAAGGACCCCTGCTCAACATGATGAAACAACAAGACAGTCATATCTATATTTTCAACACCGGCAAATGTCTGCTAGACTTTAGGCATGACTTTTTGTAATAAAATTACAAAGGCAAAAACTGCAAATCTAAAGAGTTGCGAGTGTACACAAAATCTTATCAATTAGTATGGATGAACAGGTTATGAGCTGTGATATGCAGAGAGGTAGTGAGAGCTGTGCGGCAAATCTCCAGCAGTTATCTGAAAAACTATTTAGACTGCTCCTACTGCAGGAATCAAGGTGCCGCTGGAGATGTAGCCATGGTGTCAGTGCAGTGTGCTGTATGTACAGGGATGAGCGTGTAATCTTTGTGGTGAATGCAGCGTGCTTGTTTTTTTTCTCCCCCTCTTATGTACAGACTTGAGGTGTGTTTGGTTCATTTGTACATGCTGAGGTTGTGTGTCAGTGTGCGTATGAAAACTGAACGACAGAGATATCACCTGGGCCGCTAGCTAGCGTTGCCACAGGTGAGCAAGCAAATGAATGTTTAAAACTAAAACAAGGGGAGGAAGGAAGGAAGGAAGGAGGGCGAGGGTGGGAGAGGGGAAAACGTATCCATGCACTGTGGAGGATGGACCGGGCCGGAGGCTTGAGCCAAGGTTCAACTCCTTTAGGACTTTGTAAATGCATAGTTTCCAAACTCTGTTACATGTTTGATTCTTTGACCTCTCTGGTTCGCTCCACTACTCTGCTTTTTGTGCCGTCTTGTCTCTCTCTCCTTTCCTCCTTCATCCTGAGTCCTTATACTCTCCCTTTACCTCTCTCTGCCTCTCCCTCTTTATCTCTCTCTATCTCTTAATTGGCCTTTGAATATTATTATAAAAACCTGTAAATAGTGATGTTTTTGTTTTTTTTTTAAATCTGTGAAGTTGAATTTTTTGTGTTACCAACTCCGCATTCAGCATTTTTGTCTTTAGAAATTATGTAAATTCCTATATTCAAAGTTGCCCGAATCCATTTAAAAGGAGCTTAAATGCAAATTGGAGAGCCTTTGATGACTAAAGGTATATTGGCTTTTCTGATCCACTTTTGTTTGGACCAAAACCAGTATTGTACAAAGTATTAAGTATATATTTTTCTATTGCGTGTTTAAATGGACGAGGGTGACTTTGGATGATAAGGAAGTCAGTTTAATTTTAAAGCCATGATTATTACTGGATGAGTGATAAAATTAAAACATGGGAAATTACCATCAATAAAACTATAAAAAACAATTTGTTATCTGTTCATCTTTTCATACAAGACCCTCAGTACGTATTAGATCTCAACAGATGAATTGGGTAGGCTGAAAAGTTCATAGGCTGACCATGATGCAATGATCGAATTTGACCAAATGTGGTTTATTTTTCAACATAGTCTCTCCCCTGTGGCCTACCCACTTCTTCCATGACCTCATCATCAGTCCAATACTGCTTCCCAGCCAAGTGTTTTTTCATTTTGGGGAACAGAAAATAGTGAGATGGTGCCCAATCAGGAGAACATACAGAGTGATTAACCAGTTCAAAGCCACAGTCATGCACAGTAGCCATTGCAACCACAGTGCTGGAGCATTGCCCCAGCATTGATCCACTCAGTGTATGATGGTCTACTTTTAATGTTATTTGGATGTCCCAAGAGGTCAAACCATAGACTGACTGGACTGTAACATGAGTATGAGGAGGGTGTTTTGTAGTGTCACCTCTTTAACCGGGTCAGATTCACCGTAGCAACGGCCCATAGCAACGGCCCTTAGCAACGGACACTGTATGTGTGTGAAGGAATGCGAAACTACAGGGGTCACTACGTACAGGAAACACACTCCAAGGTGTATTTAAACCTCACATTTGTGACTTTTGTGGACTTATTTCACACAGCTGCTTTAAGGTGATTATGGGATGTACCAGCTCCTCTGCTACGGTGCGACCGTTGACACCGGAACAGGCGAAGGGAGACGAGGTAACTAACTTTCTGTTAGTTTAACGTTAGCTAAAACTGTGAAGGAGGATACAATATGATGTGTTGTCGATAACAGTATCGATAATGTATCACAGTCAGCCACAGGTAGCACTTTAGGGCACATATTGAAGTATAATGAGGAGCCGTTACAGGTGTTAAATCTGTGTGCCATTTATTTTGTGGCCTTGGAGAACCAATTAATACCAGGTTGCCAGTTCCGGTGTTACCACTGAGTCACATTTTTTTACTAACTTAAATATCTATCAAAATACACACACTTACAAAACTTTGCCGATAATAAAAAAAATAATAATTTAATCTTTACCAAAAGGCTAAAAATAGCGATATCACAATGTTAAAATACTTAAAATCGTCTTAAACCCACTCCACTTTGAAATGCTACTGCTTCCACATAGTCTCCGTTAGAGACTTAATTTTAGTGACATATTTTTTATTGGTTTTTAACAACTTATACACTGCTATACAGCATTACAAAAGCAAAAAAAAAAAAAATACATATGCACAAGTATACACATATACAGATAACGTTACATACATACACATAGAACCTTCAAAGGAACAGGCAGTTGCAGAAGATAAAGGCCTAATCACAGCCCATCCTATTGTGACTGGCTACAAGATGTGAGAAAAAAAAAATCAATTAATTAATCATACTAATCATAATAATGAGTTAATATGACTTACCTCACGTCATGCTGAGTCTTTTATATAGTCCAAAAATGGATTCCAAATCCGCATAAATTTATCAGAAAAGCCATTTAATGTGAGTCTTAGTTTCTCAAGTTTGAGATGTTGTGCCACTTCCCTGGAAGGAAGGATTAATCTCCGTGTTAATAAAGTGACAAATTTTGTTACTTTGAGTTTAGACCCTGAAATATTCTTACTGTCCTCTCCTGCTATGCCAAAGATGGCTGTCAAATGATCTGTCTAAAAATATCTGATAGTGTTTTGAAGATCGAACTCCAATAAGTGGACAAATTAGGACACAGCCAGAGATGTCTATGTACATGCAAAATGCCACTTGAGTCCTAAAGTCAAGTCAAGTCAGTTTTATTTATATAGCACATTTCATTTGACAAGCTTAAACTCAATGTGCTTGAGTTACATCATACATGACAAACAAAAAATAAGATGATAAAGCGTTACATATATGAAAACAAGCAGGACATGATAAAAACAAACAAAATAAGAGGAGACTAGTATTATCATTATTCTTAAAAAAAGGGAGAGATTATAGCAATAATAATAATACTAATTCCTAAAACAAATAAAAAGACTCTGAAAGCTTGTGAAAAACGATCCGTTTTTAGTTTGCTTTTAAAAGAGAACACTGTTGTAGCAGACAGTAGGTCATGTGGAAGATAATTCCAGAGAGTAGGACCTTAATGACTAAAAGCACCATGAGCTGAACAAGTAAAATGAATGAGTAAAAGAACAGAAATATTGCAAACAAAATGTACATACAGCATCAAAAGTAGCTCATTTTGCTGCTGATATAGAGTTTTATAAGACCAGAAACATTATATTTTTGGATCATTATTATCATTATTGATGCATTGAAATGTAAGCATCATTTTAATGCTGTAGTGAGTCCAGCTCGAGCTAATTTTGACTACTTCAAATAGCAAGCAGGCAAAACTTTATTTATATAGCACATTTCATTCCAGGTGGAAGCACAATGTGCTTCACAGAGCAAAAAAACAATCACACGGCCATCAAGTAATCAGTAAAACTAGTTTAAAACAATATAAAATTACAAAAGATAAAACCATTAGAGTAAGAATAAAATAATAGTTGAGAGCAGAAATGGACCGCTAAAAGATAAAAACGATAAAATAATTAAAATAATTAAAACCAGTAAAATATATATATATATATATATATATATATGCTGTTGTGCAGTTCAATCTATATCAATTACATCATTAGCATATATTTGGTGACAGAATACACTGTTACACTGTAAAGTAGGTTTCAGACTCTGATATGATGTAATTTGTGGTGCATGTGTCATTATTGTTCCTGAGCTACTGTATTCATGACAAAGTGTCAACACATAGACGCCACCATGACAACATCATGCTTTGGTTACCATACAGAATGAGGTCAGGGTGTATGTGCCATTTTTCTGCATTCACAGTGTGTCTCCGTGCTTTCAGGATGAGACAGGAAGTAGGGTTTATGGTCGTGGAGACTCAGCCGTGTCAAAGGACACCACAGACAGTGGGGTGGTGATGGAGAATAGAGACAACCCTGTGTTACCTGGAACAGTGCCTGGAAAACTACCTCCTCTAACATCTGAACTTGTCAGAGAAAGTGATGCAGACAGAATTACACGAAACGGTGAGTGAGATAAATACAACACACCGTGACATGCCGTAGAGAAAACCTACAACCTGTAGTGTTTGTGTTTCAATCAATCAATCAATCAACTTTATTTGTAGAGCGCTTTTCCTGCACGGACATGCAACACAAAGTGCTTTACAGAATTAAAAGCAATTAACACAATTAAAGAAAGAAAAACAATTACAAAGAAAGAAAGCCCCTCCCTCCCACCCTTCATACTAGACACACACACACAATCACACACAATAGGGAGACATGGCATGGCACTGAGGATCAAGGAAACGCCACCTCTGGGGCCGTCCACACTGGGAGGAGCCGCAGGCCATGCCATCGGGGGGGACCAGCACCCAGGCCCCCCGACTCCGACAGAAAGGTGGACCCCCACATCGAAGGGAGGAGCCCCCAGCCGGCCGGGCCGAAGGGACCCAAGGACAGCACCCCCAATAGCAGACCCGACACAGCTCCCAGTGTGGAGGACCCCCCTGAGGAAACACTGGAGTTAAAAGCTAAAGACTAAAAGCATAAAATAGGACTAAAAGAATAAATAAAATAAAATAAATACAGTACCAAAAATAAAATACATAAGATTATAAATAAAATAGAATAGATACAGTACCAGTGATAAATAAAAACAAAAAATTAAGATTAATATCATCTTAAAAAGCAAGATAAAAGCAGCAACATAAAGTAGGATAGAACCAGATAAGAACATAAGAAGAGTTTAAAATATTAGTTAAAAGCCTGATTAAAAAGGTGTGTCTTTAATCTTCTTTTAAAAATATCAACAGTCTCTGCAGTCCTGAGGCTCTCCGGCAGGCTGTTCCACAGGTGGGGGCCATAGTGGCTAAATGCTGCCTCACCATGGGTTTTTGTTCTGGGTTTTGGTATGGTTAAAAGGCCAGTGCCGGAGGACCTCAGGGTCCGCGAGGGTTGATATGGTAAAAGCAGATCAGATAAATAAGAGGGCGCAAGGCCGTTAAGACATTTAAAAACGAGTAAGAGAATCTTAAAATCGATCCTGAAGCAGACGGGGAGCCAATGCAGCGACTCTAAAACCGGTGTAATGTGCTCCCGCCCTCTGGTCCTCGTCAGCACGCGTGCGACTGAGTTTTGTAAGAATTGGAGATTTAAAATACTCTTTTTGGGAAGACCAGAGAGCAGGGCATTACAGTAATCTAAGCGACAGGAAATAAAAGCATGCATTAGCACCTCCATACTGCCCTGAGAGAGAAACGGGCGGACTCTGGCTATGTTCTTAAGGTGATAAAAACCTATTTTCGTTATATTTTTGATATGTGGGATAAAATTCAGCTCAGAGTCAAAAGTCACGCCCAAATTTTTTACTGATTGGGTTGGTTTAAGATCCTGTAGTTTTGGTAAAAGTTTCTCTCTCTGGCCTTCAGGACCTATAACTAAAACCTCAGTTTTGTCCTGGTTGAGCTGTAGGAAATTCTCTGCCATCCATGACTTGATGTCTACAATGCAGTTAAAAAGGGCATCAATTGGCCCTGTGTCATCAGGAGACACGGCGATGTATAGCTGTGTATCATCGGCATAACTATGGAAGCTGATGCCGTGTCTCCTGATGACGTCCCCAAGGGGAAGCATGTAAAGATTAAAGAGAAGTGGACCTAAAATTGAGCCTTGGGGAACCCCACATCCAATTTCATGGGTTCCTGAGGAACATGTATCCATACTTACATAAAAGCATCGGTCTGTGAGATAAGAACAAAACCAGTTAAGAACAGTACCGGAGAGGCCGACCAGGTGTCTGAGTCTTTTTAATAAAATGTGATGGTCTACCGTATCAAAAGCGGCGCTTAGATCCAGTAGAACCAACACTGTGAGCTTTTTGTTATCTAAATTCCACCTGATGTCGTTTATAATCTTTAGAAGGGCTGTCTCGGTACTG